AAAAAAAACGGGGTTGACCTCTTAGCCCTTCTGGAAAGGGTCTTGGGGATCCTGAGAGGTCCACAGAGCACATTTGGAAAACCACTGGTTTATCACGTAGGCACAATGCATTAGTTTTACAAAGTTTAAAGTTCATCAAAGACTGGCCTCTTAAAAAGGCAGATGAGTTTTTAATTCAAACAGCAGAAAATACATAAATACATCATGAGAGTATACTACAGAGAACTAAAGAGAAAGGAAGCTAGGAAATCTGAATCACGTTTACATTTATTAAAGTTCATCACTACTGCTTTGTAAAACATTCTTGTGTTTCAGTGTGTGATATGGTTAGACGAGTGAAAATATATTTGGTTGATTGCCATTGCCTGTTAGGGAGAGTCAATACTTACAGGCATTTCTGACTGGTTATCGTATAAAAGACTTCACAGTACAGGATATGAAGTGCCAAGAAAGAAGAAATCAGGAAACGCTCTGCAAGTCAGGATCCAGGAGAATTCATAAAAACTGCTTTGGTGAAGTAAACACCAAAGCACACAGGAGGCAGTATTTTACTAAACAGATATTATACTAAGATATTAACCGTTTTTGAAGTAATGCACATTCTTATTTTATAGAGATGCAGATAGATATTTGAGCCTATTTGATGAACAGTTATACTCATTTACGGTAAGTGACACTTTTATTGCGGTTGTATTTTCATCATACACTTGTATCTGTTTCATGCTGAAGTCAAAGGCATCTTTTTTTAAATCTTCCCCATTTCATGTCGTATTTAGTCATCTTAAGTGTTGTAAAAAGAATGTGCTGGAATAAGACTGATCTGCAGCTCTGTTTAGTGAGCTAATATGAGTAAATATACTACCCAAATAACAGAAAATGTATCTTTTTTTTTTTTTTTTTTTTGAGACGGAGTCTCTTTCTGTAGCCCAGGCTGGAGTGCAATCGCATGATCTCAGCTCACTGCAGGCTCTGTCTCCCAGATCCCTGTTCAATCAATTCTCCTGCCTCAACCTCTCGAGTAGCTGGGATTACAGGCATGTGCCACCGTGCCCAGCCCTTCCTTCCTCCCTCCCTCCCTCCCTCCCTCCTTCCTTCCTTCCTTCCTTCCTTCCTTCCTTCCTTCCTTTTCAGTAAAGACAGGGTTTCACCATGTTGGCCAGGATGGTCTTGAACTCCTGACCTCGTGATCCACCCACGTTGGCCTCCCTAAGTGCTGGGATTACAGGTGTGAGCCACTGTGCCTGGCCCAGAAAATGTATCTTTTTAAAAGGTAACTGTGAGCTGTCTATAGGACCCTGCAAGTCACTACCCAATTTTCGAAGCCATTCCTCCTTCTGTTCCACACAGGTTTCCACCATACACATTACCCAGACGATAAATGGAGGTGGGAGTTTTAGTAACTATTCCTCCTCCATTCCATCGACTCCCAGCACCAGCCAGGAGGACCTTCAGATCAATGTTCCTCCCACTGCCAACACACCCACGCCCGTTCGCAAGCAGTCCAAGCACTGGTCCAAGCTGTTTACATCTGAGAAAGGGAGTGACCCAGACAAAAAGAAGAAAGCCCCGGAGAGTCATGCTGACACCATCGGGAGCGGCAGAGACATCCCCATTAAACAGGGCATGCTCTTAAAGCTAAGTGGGAAATGGCTGAAGAAATGGAAAAAGAAATATGTCACCCTCTGTGACAATGGCGTGCTCACCTATTATTCAAGCTTAGGTGATTACCTGAAGAACATTCATAAAAAAGAGATTGACCTTTGGACATCTACCATCAAAGTCCCAGGAAAGAGGCCACCCCTAGCCACATTGGCCTGCACGCCTATCTCCAGCTCTAAAAGCAATGGCCTATTCAAGGACATGAACAGTCTACCTATCTCAGCCAATTCAGACACCGGGCTGGGTGACTCCATATGCTCCAGCTCCAATATCTCCAGCACCACCAGACCCAAGCTCAATCTGCCCCACTCTCCTCATGCCAACAAAAAGAAACACCGAAGGAAGAAAAGCACCAACAGCTTGAAAGACGATGGCCTGTCCAGCACTTCTGAAGAACAAGAAGAAAACTTTATCATTGTGTCCCTCACTGGCCAAACGTGGCACTTTGAAGCCACAACGTATGAGGAGCGGGATGCCTGGGTCCAAGCCATCGAGAGCCAGATCCTGGCCAGCCTGCAGTCATGCGAGAGCAGCAAAAGCAAGTTCCGGCTGATGAGCCAGAGCGAGGCCATGGCCCTGCAGTCCATCCGAAACATGTGTGGGAACTCCCACTGTGTGGACTGCGAGACCCAGAATCCTAACTGGGCCAGTTTGAACTTGGGAGTCCTCATGTGTATTGAATGCTCAGGGATCCACCGTAATCTTGCACCCACCTTTCCCGAGTCCGATCTCTGGACTTGGATGACTGGCCAGTCGAGCTCATGCAGGTTTTGTCATCTATTGGCAATGAGCTAGCCAACAGCATCTGGGAAGAGAGCAGCCGGGGCAGACGAAACCCTCAGTAGATTCCACAAGGGAAGAGAAGGAATGGTGGATCCGTGCCAAATATGAACAGAAGCTCTTCCTGGCTCCATTACCCTCCACGGAGCTGTCCCTGGGCCAGCACCTGCTGCAGGCCACCGCTGATGAGGACCTGTGGCCAGCCCTCCTGCTGCTGGCACATGGCTCCCGGGAGGTGAACTTGAGACCTGTGGGGAGGGAGACAGCTGCACGGCGCTCCATCTGGCCTGCCGCAAGGGGAATGTGGTCCTGGTGCACCTCCTGATCTGGTACGGGGTGGATGTCATGGCTGGAGATGCCCACGGGAACACAGCGCTGGCCTACGCCCGGCAGGCCTCCAGCCAGGAGTGCATCAACCTACTGCTGCAGTACTGCTGCCCCGACGAGCACGTGTAGTATCTGTTTAATTTTATTGGACTGCAGTCTCTTTGGTGCAAAAACAAAATGGGAAAAATAAATAAGAATAACTCAGAAATTCAAAAAGAAATCACAAATTCAGCTAATAATAGCATTTTGAGTACATTTTGTAAAATAAGTAAATACACAAAATGTTGGTTTTTCCGACTGTAAGATAAATTTTATGTTCTTTTGCTTAGTGTGTGTGTTAGTCTCAGGCCCTCCCGGGCCACATGCCTGAGTAACACAGGCTTCTGTATTTTGTATTTAGATAAGATGTGTCAAAATATATTTGAAAAACAGTTCATAACTGTGCATTGATTTTTGTACAAATGGCACCTCTCTCTCTTTTTTTTTTTTAGATGGTGTCTCGCTCTGTCACCCAGGCTGGAGCACAGTGGCATGATCTCGGCTCACTGCAAGGTCTGCCTCTTGGTTTCACGCCATTCTCCTGCCTCAGCCTCCCAAGTAGCTAGGACTATAGGCACCTACCACCATGCCTGGCTAGTTTTTTGTATTTTTAGTAGAGATGGGGTTTTACTGTGTTAGCCAGGATGGTCTTGATCTCCTGACCTTGTGATCCACCCGCCTCAGCCTCCCAAAGTGCTGGGATTACAGGCTTGAGCCACTGCGCATGGTTGGATGTTGATTTTTATCAGAAGCCTTTTCTGCATCTATTGAGATAATCATGTGGTTTTTGTCTTTAGTTCTCGTTATGTGACAGATCACATTCATTGATTTGTGTATGTTGAACCAACCTTGCATCCCAGGGATAAAGCCTACTTAACTGTGATGGACAAACTTTTTGATGTGCTGCTGGATTCAGTTTGCTGAGTTTTGTTGAGAATTTTTGCATTGATGTTCATCGAGGATATTTGCCTGAAGTTTCCTTTTTTTGTTGTATCTCTGCCAGGTTTTGGTATCAGGATGATGCTGGCCTCACAGAGTGAGTTATGAAGGAGAAGGAGTCCCTCCTCATCAGTTTTTTGGAATAGTTTCAGCAGGAATGGTACTAGCTCTTTGTACTTCTGGTAGAATTCAGCTGTAAATCTGTCTGGTCTTGGGCTTTTTTTTTTTGGTAGCCTATTTGTTACTGATTCAGTTTCAGAGCTCATTCACTATTGGTCTGTTCAGGGATTCAGTTTTTTCCTGGCTCAGTTTTGGGAGGGTGTATGTGTCCAGGAATTTATCCATTTCTTTTAGATTTTCTTGTGTGTGCATAGAGGTAGTCATAATATTCTCCGATGGTTATTTGTATTTCTTTGGAGAAATATTTCTCCTCCATTGTTTCTGATTGTGTTTATATGGATTTTCTCTCTTATTGGTCTAGCTAGCAGTCTTTCTATTTTATTGATTTTTTTCAAAAAGCCAACTCCTGGATTCATTGATCTTTTGAATACTTTTGTGTTTTAATTTCCTTCAGTTCAGCTCTGATTTTGGTTATTTATTGTCTTCTGCTGGCTTTGGGGCTGGTTTTCTCTTGGTTCCTTTGTTATTTTAGTTGTGATGTTAGGTTGTTACATTGAGATATTTCTAACTTTTTGATGTGGGTATTTAGTGCTGTCAATTTCCATCTTAACACCACCTTGATTGTGTCCCAGAGATTCTGGTATGTTGTATCTTTTTTCTCATGAGTTTCAAAGAACTTCTTAATTTTGACCTTAAGTTCATTATTTATCCAAAAGTCATTTAGGAGCAGGTTATTCGATTTCCATGTAATTATATGATTTTGAGTGAATTTCTTGGTCTCTATTTCTAATTTGATTGCACTATGGGCTGAGAGATTGGTCATTATGATTTCACTTCTTTTGCATTTTCTGAGGAGTATTTCCTGTATTATTCTGTGACTGATTTTGGAGTATGTGCTATGTGGTGATGAAAATGTATATTCTGTTATTTTAGTGAAGAGAGTTCTGTAGATGTCTGTCAAGTTCATTTGATCCAGTGCTGAGTTCAAGTCCTGAATATCATTGTTAATTTTCTGCCCCAGTGATCTATCTGATACTGTCAGTGAGATGTTAAAATCTCCCACTACTATTGTGTGGGAGTCTAAGTCTCTTTGAGGGTCTGTAAGAACTTGTTTTATGAATCTGGGTGCTCCCGTTTTGGATGCATAAATATTAATATTTAGAATTGTTAAGTTTTCTTGTTCAATTGAACACTTTACCATTATGTAATGCTGTTCTTTGTGGTTTTTGATCTTTGTTGGTTTGTAAAGTTTGTTTTGTCTGAAATTTGGATTGCAACCCCTGATTTTTTTCTGTTTTCCATTTGCTTAGTAGATTTTTCTCTGTCCCTTTATTTTGATCCTATGGGTGTCATTGCATGTGAGATGAGTCTCTTGAAGACACCATACCAATGAGTCTTAAATCTTTATCCAGATTGCCATGGTGTACCTTTTAATTGGGGCATTTAGCCATTTACATTCAAGGTTAGTATTGATATGTGTGGATTTGATCTTGTCATGATGTTAGCTGGTTATTATGTGGTCTTCTTTGTGTGGTTGCTTTATAGTATCATGGGTCTGCATACTTCAGTATGTTTTTGCAGTGGCTGGTATGGTCTTTCCCTTTCACATTTGGTGCTTCCTTCAGGAGTTTTTGTAAGGCAGGTCTTGTTATAACAAATTCTCTCAGCATTTGCTTGTCTGAAAAGGATCTTATTCCTCATTCACTTATGGAGCTTAATTTGGCTGGATATGAAATTCTTGGTTGGAATTTCTTTTTATTAAGAATGTTGAAGATAGACCACCAATCTCTCCTGGCTTGTAGGGGTTCTACTGAGAGGCCCACTGTTAGCCTGATGGGGTTCCTTTTGTAGGTGACCTGACCTTTCTCTCTAGCTGTCTTTAGCATTTTTTTTTTTTTCATTTTGAGTTTGGAGAATCTAATGAGTATGTGTTTTGGGGATGATCTTCTTGTGAAATATCTTACTAGTGTTCTCTGCATTTCCTGAATTTGAATGTCAGTCTCTCTAGCTAGGTCAGGGAAGTTCTCATAAATGATATCCTGGAATATATCTCCCACATTGCTTATACTCTCTTCATCTCTTTCAGGGACACCAATGAGTCATAGATCTGGTCTCTTTACATAATCCCATATTTCTCAGAGGTTTTGTTCCTTCCTTTGTATTTTATTTTCTTCATTCTTGTCTGCCTGTCTTCTTTCAGAAAGCCAGTCTTCAACCCCTGAGATACTTTCCCACTTGGTCTATTCTGCTATTAATGAAATTCTTGTAGTGTGTTTTTTTAGCTCTATCAAGTTGGTTACAACATTCTTTTCTGTACTGACTATTTTGTCTGTTGGCTCCTGCATTGTTTTATCATGATTCTTGGCTTCCTTAGATTGGCTTTCAACATACTCTTGCATCTTGATCATCTTCATTCCTATCCATATTCTGAATTCTATTTCTGTAATTTCAGTCATCTCAGCCTGGTTCAGACCCTTTGCTGGAGAAGTGGTACAGCTGTTTGGAGGAAAGAAGGCACTCTGGTTTTTTGGGTTGTGAGAGTTCTTGCACTGGTTCTTTTTTTTTTTATCTTTGCAGGGTTATGTTCCTTCATTCTTTGAAGTTGCTGACCTTTGGATGGATTTTTTTCGTTTTATCCTATTTGATGACCTTGAAGGTTTCACTGTTATGTAAGGTGGATTCAGTCAACTGGCTTCATTTCTGGAAGATTTTAGAGAGCCAACACTTAGTTCCCAGCTCCTGGACTGCATGCTTAAACTCTGGAGGACTTGTGTTGAGCCCCAACTTTGTTCTGTCTTCTCAAGGTTAAGAATCCACTGCACTGGGTGAGCCAAGATGCTCTCATTAGACTGCTGGTCACTACACACTAATGGGTGATGTCAGCCAAGGCATTTAGTAGTGCAGAGACAGTGGAATCCATCCTCGTTTGCATGTGCCAGCAGCAGTGGCAGCAGCAGCACGGCTGCAGTAGGGTGCTAGTGGGTGCTGGTGTGCCTGCCTCTGTGCCAGCATTTACCACAGTGGCAAAGGGAACACAGCTTGCATGGTGGGGGCCCCTGCTGGTGACTACGTGTGGTTGCAGTGGTAGTGGTGTTGACATGGGAGCAGGGTGCTGGGGAGCGTCAGCATTGGGGAGAGTCTGCTGTTCTCTATGCCTAGTTTCACTTGGGGTAGTGCTGGCAAATGGGTGGGGCACTGGCAGGGGCGGGGTTGGGGCTGGTTGGCTCTGTGCCTGCCAAGGCTCTGACTACAGTGGTGGTCAGATGGGAAAGTGGAGCAGACTGCGCTCCTGCTGCAGCAGTTTCAGGGCAGGGTGTACACATACACGCAGGCTGGCAGGACAAGATAAGCAAAACCTGCCCGTGCACACATGTGCTGGCAAAGCCATGTGGGGTGTTTCCGTGGGCCTGGGGGAAGATGCAGTGTGGAAGGAATGTGAGGGCTGGTGTGTGGCCCTGGGGGCTGGCCTGTGGGAGCTCTTCACATTTCAGGCATGGTCCACCAGCGCTGGAGCGATGATGTACGCCCCTAGGGCGCTCAAGGCTTCCCTGCAATCAGGCATGGCCAGGGTGGGCCCTGAGAGAGACCAGCGAACTAAGGAGTGCTCAGGTAGTACCAGCCCTGCCTGATGAGTAAGACTGCCCTGCGAAGTTCAGGCCCAACGGTTCCCCTAGGGCGAAAGTCTCCTATGGGAGCAAGTTGAGTCTAGAGGGGTGGCCGTCCCTGGCTGTGCTCCACTACAGCTGCTCCTGCTGCAAACCCTCTGGGTTCATCACCTGGCTACTGCCCTGGCCATTTCTCTAAGCGTATCTCCCTTACGACTCCAGTGTCCATGGTGGTCAAAGGATCTCCTGCCAGGATTCCAGAGGCTGGTCGTAAGAAGCGTTGCTCCTTGCCAGTTCAACTCACCCTTTACCCCAGATCATTGGGGGCTAGGAATGAGTTCCTGGGTGCAGTAGCCCGATGCAGGCCTCCCAGCTTCCTCCCCCTTTAGCCTAGCTTCTATGTCTTCCCTTCATTCACTCTCAGTGCCTTCCCTCTGAAGATCCGTTAGGACTGCACCAGTCAAATCAGTCCCTCAGTGGCAGCTGTTGCACCTGGCTGCATCTAGTTGGCCATCTTAACATGTATATTTCCATAACCGATTTTCGTGTGTTGATTTTGTACCCTGCAATTTTGCTGAATTAAAATTAGCTCTAGTAGGTTTATTTATTTGTTTGTTTGTTTTTGAGATAGAGTCTGGCTCTGTCAAC